ATATTGAGAAAGATGGCATCCTTCCTAACTCATTCTATGAAGCCAATATCACCTTGATACCAAAGCCAGGAAAGGAGACAACAAAAAAAGAAAACTAATGAATTAAAAAAATAAAGTGTGGTCAACAGTGACAAATGTGGGAGAAATGTCAATATAAGGACTGAAGTGAGTGATTTTAATTATTTATTATAAAAGAGTTAATTGTTATCTTGATATCTGAAATTTCAGTGGAGTAAGGATATAAAACACAATGTAATAAGAACAAGAAATAATAGGAGAAAAGTATTAGTAAAAACTATTCTTTCAAAATTGGCTATGAAAGAAAAAAAGATAACTAAAGGAAGACATAGGATCCAAGTAGGCTTTTGATTTTAAGATGTAGGCAATTTGAGCCCACTTATCTGCTTAGAGAAAAGAGTTATTGAGAGAGAGGAAGAAGATACAAGAAACATCAACTGATGGAACAAAGACCTGGAGAATTTGAATGAAGAACTCAGAGAAATTAGCCTTCAAAAAGAGAAGACATCTCTTCAATTTACAGGAGAGATAAATGAGGATACAGATGCAAAAATGTTTGGAGATGGAGGATCTGAAAGGCCAAAATTAATAGGAATTCTTACCTGAAAAATTCATGTTTTTCTGAATTATCACAGTGAAAGAGAAAAAAGCAAGGCTCTTAAGGATGGTTATAAAAATTTAAAACAGCTGCTTTAGAGAACTGGATAGGGGAGGTGACTATGGACACAGAAGAAATTCCAAGTAGCAGTGAGAGAGACTCCAAAGTTGGAAGTTGGAGACTTCCATTTCTGGATAAAATGTAGTATATTGTGGCAGGCCAATATCCTGAGGAGAGGAGAGGAGAGGAGAGGGGAGGGGAGGAGAGGAGAGAGGAAGGAGATGTAGGGGAGGGGAGGGAAGAAGGGAAGGGAAGGGAAGGGAAGGGAAGGGAAGGGAAGAGAAGGGAAGAGAAGGGAAGGGGAGGGGAAGGGAGGGGAGGGGAGAGGAGGGAAAGAAAGAAAGAAACAGAAAAAAATCAGAATTAAAAAATCATACATTTAAAGGTGTCAGAGAGCTGTGGAAGTAACAGGATCTCTGGCCTTTTTTTTTCTAGGGGCATTTGCCAATTTTGGGTGTGGGCTTAGGAAGAGAATCTCTGCTCGAACAAACACAAACTAGCAAGTATTGAGTGATCAATAGGGCCTGAAGAAACAAATATGAAACTTAGAGGCTTAAAGGCATGACTCATTTTCTCTTGTTTCTTGGGCAGCACAAGGAGCTGGACCAAAGCTGCTAAAAGGCAGAGTTAACTCTCTAATAGTCTCATGGGCTTAGTCTGACACAGGTGCCAGCCTCAGACATATACTCAGTTTCCCCCTTCAAACATCTGTCAGAGTTTGGGCTGAGTGGAGTGAGAGGCTGGAGAGCTGGGCTGCAACCCTATAAAAGGCATAATTGTATCTTTCACAGCCTCTTAGGATCAGAAGACAGAAACCTAACAGGTTCATAACAGACTGGAATGATCACACCTGAGGAACAGAGGCAACCAACACAGAAAGTCTACTAAAACTAGAACCAAACATGGATCAGCATCCATGATTGGATTTAAATGATCAGTCATTTATCCTCTCTGCCTAAGACAGAAAGAAGAAACATCCTCTGGTGGAAGACCATCTGGAAGCCTCTTATAGTTCTTTATACGATTGCCTGTCATAAAATTACTCGACATGCATAGAGACAATATATGACTGACCAAGAGAGGAAAACAGACCTCAGAACAACACCTACAGATGATTCAGATATTATAATTAGTAGACATGATGTACACTTTAAAATAACCATAGCATGATAAAGGAAATAAGAACAAAGTAGGGGGAAATGAATTATTTTAGCCAATAATTCTATGAAATCTGTTATAAAAAAAGTTAAAAGATAGAGGGCATATATGAAAAACTGTCACCATGAAATACTTCATGGAGAGAAAAATGAATGCCTCCCCCCAACATCAGGAATTACGCAAAAATATCTGCTATCACAATTACTATTAACATTATACTGAAGGTTCTAGCTAGTGCAATACAGCAAGAAGGTAGGACTGACCATATGAAGTGTTGGCAAGAATGTAGAACAACTGAAACTCTTACACACTGATGGTGAAAATGTACAATACTAAAATCATTTTAGACATTTTAGAAGTTTCTTCCAAAGGTAAATATATACCTACGGTGTGACCCAACCACTGCACTTCTCAGTGTTTACCCAAGAGAAATAAAAGCATATATCCACACAGGTAAGTAGCTATACATGAATATTTATAGTTTCATAATATCTAAAAACTGGGAACATTCCAAATGCCCATCAACAGGTGAATGGGTAAACAAATTGAAGGATATTCATACAATAGAATACTACCCAGCAATAAAAAGAATAAACTATTAATGCATGCAAGACGGTTGAATCTAAAAAAAAAAGTGTTCTGAAAGAAAGTAGCCTGACCAAAACTATATACTATGATTACATTTATATCAATTCTAGAAAATGTAAACATATCCATGGTAAAGAAAACATCATTGATTGCCTGGGGGTAGAGTAGGTGGAATAGGAGAAGAGATAGATTAAAAGGAGCATAAAGAAATTTTTGGGGTGATAGATATGTTTATTAACTTGATAGCCATGATGGTTTCAGCTGTGTGTGTGTGTGTGTGTGTGTGTGTGTGTGTGTGTGTGTGTACATAAAGGTGAAGACTCATCAATTTCCTCAACCTGATTAACTATAAAAAACCTTCAGCTAACATCATGCTTATGGTAAAATTATGAATGTTTTTCCATAAGCCAAGGCAGGAAGTAGGCAAAGATGTCTACTTTTACTACTTCTAATCAATTTTGTATGGGAAGTTCTATCCATTGCAATAAAGTAAAAAAGGGAAGGGAGGAAGAAAGAAAAGGAGAGAGGGAGTGCATAAGGATCAGAAAGGAAAAAGTAAAACTATGTCTCTGTTTGCAGATCCCATAAATGATTGCCTAGAATATCCTCAGGAATCCACACTACAACTACTAAAACTAAACAGTATACTTGGCAAGGGTGTAAGATACAAGGAAAATATGCAAAAAATCAATTGTATTTTATATATGCCAGTAGAAGATATTTGGAAATAAAATTAAGTATCAATTCTATTTACAGTCATAACGACTGAATACTTGGGAATAAATTCATCAAAAGACGTGCAATACAGGTAAATTACAAATAATCTCTAAGCAAACATATCCAATAAAAACCAAAGCAATTCAGACAGAGAAGACTGGAATAAATAACTAATCCTTCAATATAAAGACATAGATATACATCTATGGATAATTCTAAACATAAAAGCTAAAACCATAAAGTTTTTAT